GGCATCAAATGAAATTGATCCATCTGTTCAAAAAATGTTACTAAAGGTAAAAAATAACGACTTTAATACTGAAATTACGGTCAATACGGTTCATCTTGGGATACTAATATACCATTTGGTTTGTATATTTGACAGTGATTATATTCACTTTAGGCTGCCTTATTTGGACGATCATTTTTATCATTGAAATTAAATCCAACACCAAATATTGGAACAAAACGAGAATCACCAATAAAAATACAAACAAATAATACATTTTCAAATATTATTATGTGTTTACATTTGATTAATAATCTTCAAGATAAGTCCATTTCATTGCCACTGACCTATAAACAGTATCCTTTTGTTTTTCTTCTCTTCTCTGATGAGACGAATATGTTTAAAGTGTTATGAAAATGTTTTCGTTAATAATGGGAAAATAGATTTGATTGTCTTGGAATTCAAGCATTAATCAATCGTTTAGTTCGACGTAATTTACACGAGTTTGCAACAAAATTAACAAAATTTCTCAACATACCAGCTGATGAAGGAGAAAATCGTATATTAGTTCAATGGGCTGTTCAAGAAGTAATTTAAATTATATGTTCAATGAATATGTAAGACTATAGTCTAGTTTTTTTGTTTTAGATTAATAATCCGACTAATACAAATGAAGAATCAATTTCAGAAATAATTAAAAGTCGTTTAGAAAACGTATCTGGAATACCATTTATCGAAATAATTGGTGCAGCATTTCTTGCTAAAAAAACAATTGTTGTGAGACGAGTATGAAATGTTAACTATAATTGTACTTTATCAAATAGTCTAAATTCAATTTTATTCATTATAGTTATTAGATGTTAAAGTGACTATTAATGATCAGGTGGATATATTATTAACATTAGGTGACAAAGAAGAAGCTTTGCAACGCGCATTAAAAAGTGAAAATACCGATTTAGGTACAATAAAATGAAAAAGTTAATGAGATGTATCTTAGTTTAATTCTATCGTTCTAGTTCTTTATGTTCTGATGCGTATTAAAGCCGATGAATCACTTACAGATTATATGTTAAGATTAAAAAAACTTAAATCTCTTCCAATTAATCTTCATTTAGAAGTAAGTTTTTCTTATCTTATCTAAATAAGTGTTATTTTAATCCTTTTTTATTTTGTTTACTATACAATCATTATCAAACACATAGTAAATGAAGAAAACATGAGACATTGATTGATGAGATTGCACCGAGTCTTACGACCTAATCTCAAAGATCGGCTAGTTTCAGTATTCAGCCTCTCCCAACCCAGCTCAACCAAAGCTTCTATATCAGACAGAAAATATTTGAAAGATCGATTTTCTGGAAGATCTCTAGGAAATCACCTCGGATCTCTAGAAACCACATAGGAATCTCTTGATTCTTTTTTTCATAGATAGATAGTCCGAAGTGTCTTCTACAAAATTAGATTTAAGCAAAAAATTTGGTTTTGCTTGGTTCAGGTGCTACAGACATTTTAGAAAACTCAATGAATT